GTTGACAGTTTGGGATTTGACATATGTATGTATGGGTGGTGGTGTGTACCGCGCATTTAACATATAAATATATATATATATATATATATATATATATATATATATATATATATAGTGGAAATTTGGAATACTCTTTTTTGAAGGCAAAATTGCTGTTTTTTTTGCAGTTTGCTGATAAAAGCATATAAGGTAAACATGCTTTGTGGTAGAGTGCTCAATAGAATTAATAATAAAAATTCACTTGACTCATGTTTACTTTTAAGTTTCGTAGTTACATAGATCCAACGCTTCGTCAGAAGATATCTCAGAGACAGGTTCCGAAAATAATTCATATTTTCTTTCCGCTTTCTTGCATATATTTTATGAATCCCTTGTTTTTAATGTTGATGTCTCTTTTTTTTTTTCTTCAGTTCTGTTTACATATTTTTTACTTCTTATCCGCGGTTTTGCTTTCCACAATTTAATTTATCCGTATTCAATCTCCGAAACAAACCCTTCATACGTCTTACAGGATAATAGTCCCAAAGTTTAATTGTAATGATACAGATAATTCCAGAATTGCCAAAGATAACACATAAAGTGATTCCTATAAGTGAAAATATGGAAGTTCACGTATTAATAAGGAAATAAAAAATACTATGCTATGGGTGCTAAAATCCACGGTAAAAAAAATCTCTCACACAACTTTTATTACAGTCTGTTTTTCTAAATACAGTGCAACCTCGGTTCTCGAATGTCTCAAATGTCAAACAAATCGGTTTTTGAACAGAATATTCAAGATGAAAATGCCCCGGCTATCAAACCAAATTTCGGTTCTCGAACAACATTGCCAAACTGAGCCGGACCGACTTAACCCGAACGCAATCATTTCTTAGTCGACCGCCATGTTGTATACATTCGCGTGATGTGCTGTGCTTTTCTTTTCCAATTTTATTGTACTGTGCCTTTTTTTTTCTCTTCATTAGTCCTCAGTCATGGCCCCAAAGAAAACTAGCAGTGATACTGGTAAAGAAAAAGAAAAGTTAAGAGAAAAACAATTATTGATGATATTGTCTCTTCCTTCTCAATTTAGTATGGAAATATCAACGATCTATACTATTCTTATAAATAAAGAGACGATCATGTTTTTCCTCCCACTTTCCAAACATTAACATTTCTTTCTATCCCCTTCCACTCACGCCATCAATATTCCTTCATTCAGGTACAGTAAAATTAAAGTGTTCGTCTATATTCTATCTGTTTAGTATTGGGTTTATTTATTTTTTTCTTAGATTTAATGATTTTCATTAGTTTTCTGTATAAACTTATACGCAAAGTATTGTTGTTAAAGTTCAAGTAAGCAATTATCTTGGGACCAAGAACGCATTAATCCATTTTACATTGATTCCTATTAGAAAATAGTTTCGGTTTACGAACAGGTTTCAGGAACGAATTAAATTCGTGAACTGGGGTTCCACTGTATTCATTTTTTTATATAAATCTCTCATTGTACTTATTTTAGAGATTCAAATTTATCATAAGTATGCACGTATATTAAAAAATATATATGTAAGATACGGTACTATCCACATTTCCCGAGATTCTCCGATAGATACGATTTGGATTAGTTCATTTTACAACATATTTGGGTATTTCAATGTCGAAATCTATTTTATTACACTTGAGTCTATAGATAAACGTTAGTCATCTTTATACTTGCGTCTATAGGTAAGCAGTGGTTGGATTTAAATTTGACTCAAAAGGTAAGCATTGATCAAGCTTAAATTTAAATGAACAGGCACCAACCTGAAAGATGATCCCTTATATGAAGGGTTCTTACCTTCCTTGTATGGGATGCAGACAGTGTATTCTAAACCCTGATGACAAGGCTACGCGGATAATGTTATTGTTATCTCTGGAGTGCAGATTCATGTGCATAAAGAAATTTGTAGTTTCTTGTCTTACCTATGAAGTGTCTTGTGAACTTCCCAATTGATACTGTCCACGTGGTCATCGCTTTTATTAAATTTCTATTGTTACTGTTGCTTTTCTTTTTTCTTTTTTTTTTGTCTACAGACAAATCCTGATGGAAATGGAACAAAGTTAACAGCTGTCCACAACCAGTAAACACAGATGGTACAATTTTTTATGATACTAGAATCTTCGAAGCATAATAGCAGTGCCAACGATTACAGTCTTGTAAGCGCCCAATCTCGACATTGACCCCAATATTTTCCAGCCACTTCACAAATTCAATATTATGATGCCAAGAGCATCAACAACAATTGTGATGATTTCCACTCTATTCACTAACCACAACTTTTAAATTTCTTATTTTAAAAGTATTATTATTATTATTATTATTATTATTATTATTATTATTATTACTTCTTTTGATTTCTATTGTATATTCATTTCCTTCTGGGTCCCAACCAAAGACCTAGGTTCAAAAATGGCTTAATGACATTTTCCACTAAACATTTTTGTAAAAGAATAACAAAAAACAAAAGCTAAAACCATACACATTTTACATAGATAAAGCTCTTCATAATCCCTTCAGTGAATCTAACGGAACATTTTCCAATCAATTTGAGAGCTGTAACTATAACTGAAATTATTGATGTGTTCATGTGCAATATTTTTTAGATCTCCGCTTCAAGATTTTTGTATTTTGATAGTTTTATGAAGATCTTCAAAGATACATTACAATCTGCGGGAACTGCCATGTCAATAAGAAAAGCTCATTTCTTCCCAATCTTGCCTACAACTAGCAGAGCAGACTGGGTTTTAACCTTGGTTGGTAACCAGTCTAGAAGGGTAGCTGAGCATTCTAGGCATACTTGGCAACCAATCTAAAAAAAGAATATATGGATTAACTTGCTTTGGTTGGCAACCAATGTAAGAGAAGAATGCGGAGGAGTCTACAGGACTGTACTGTGCAAATCCACTGAAAAGAAAGACAATATAGCAAAACTAGTAAAATTAGTAGAAATGTTGAATACAGGATGAAATAACGCATTAGTTTTTTTCCTATTAATCTATGTCCCGGGCCCATTCAGGAAGTTTGCAACCATGACTCTCCACAACTTCTAATCCTTTGTAGCTTTTGATAATGTTTGTCTTTTTTACCATTCCTCCCAATTCCTGTTCTATTCTTTTACATGAGTTCGTCAGGTAGATGGTTCACTGCTTCGCCCTTTTTTTGCCTTCGATATGTCGTGTGAGTGACAAATCTTCTACGCACTTCTTTCTAATTATATTCCACAGAAATTTTAATCGTCTCTTTCTGATTCTGAGTGTAAGTCCTTTTTGTTTCCATTTTCCTTAAAAGTTTCTCGTTGATTACACCTTTCTCATTTTTTCTTTTCCTTCTTTTTCTTTTTCGGTTGCTTAAGGCACACTGACGTCAGTAGTGAGGTTGGTTAAGATTTTAGTCAAATTTCAGTACAGTTGCTTATCAACGAGTTACTTATTTAAAAAAAAAATCATATATGTATTCACTTCCCCCCTCCCTCAATTTTTCTCACTTCTTCAAAGATTCTTATTTTTCCTCTTTAACCTAATTTTCTTTCTCTGTTCCTTATTTTTTCCGATCAAATATTCTTCTAATATCAATGCCATGACATCAACTAAAGTTTGCGTCTGACGAATTTAGGACCAGCAATCACTATTTTTATACTCTGATAAAGTAGAAACAACTAACGTTTCTCTCCCTTGACGTGCATGTAACGCACAACTTGTAATGTAAACCACCCCAGATTCTACCCGTCTCTTCATTCTAGCTGCACATCTGTCAGTGAGATTTCTTTTTATTAATCAATTTCTGATGTGTTCTAATCTGTTCAATAGCTATGTCTGCTTGTATTTATCTCAGTCTGTCCATATAGTTTCTACATCAATTGGTTATCTGTCTGTATATATATATATATATATATATATATATATATATATATATATATATATATATATATATATATATATGTATGTATGTATGTATGTATATGGTTTAAAATTTGATTATATATTAGGGAAGAGTGCTCAATATTGGAGACAGAGCCTTTATAATCCTAAACAGTGTGGATATAGGAATCAACACTGCATGATAACTATTTCATGCCTTGGAGCAGTTGATAAAAAATTTGTCTTGTAGACTAGTTGCACTGTAGTGATTTTCATCGTCAGTAGTGCGCAGGTATGCAGAAAATAGAAAAGAACACGTTGGGTGCATAATCCGGAGTTCCTTAGTATTTTTGTTTTTATTTTTAAGAAGACAGTGCTCCATACATAAGTAGAGCTTTATTATAATAATATTTTTTTGTTTAAAAATATGATTCCTTCGCTACATAAGAGTTCTCATGTTTCAAAAACGAGAGCCCAAATCATCCAAATATTTATTAAAATTAAGTTGAAATGAGGTGTTTAGTCTCGTTTCATCTTCAAGCAAAATTTTAGGAATAAGCTATCTCTTGGTTTACGTGTGTTTTTAGGCATGGTCCGTTATAACATTCGTTATTGTGGGAGTGGCTAAGCTAGTTTTCTTCATTAAGTGGTCAGAGAGTTAATTCTTATCAATAGGTTCATCATCTTCTGAGAGGTTTTGCTAAGGTTGGGTAGGGTATCTATTTCAAGGCTAATGTTGGCGGTCATCCTTATATATATATATATATATATATATGTGTGTGTGTGTGTGTGTGTGTGTGTGTGTGTGTGTGTGTGTGTGTGTGTGTGTGTGTTCATCTGACCATATTTGTGTCTTTATTTTCATCTGACCATATTCGTCTCGTTATCGTTAGCTGTCTTTGTTGCCATATTTATCACAACGTTTTGGCCATTGTACGCTCCGGCCTTCTTCAGATGGTTGGAATGTCGAACTGAACTCTTTATTTCGACATTCCAACCATCTGAAGAAGGCCGAAGCATGCAAAGGCCGAAACGTTGTGACAGATATCGCAACAACGATGAGGACAATAGTCCGAATAATGTAAATACTGCCCATATCTGTTTGAGATGTTTTTTCTTAGACTGCCAATTATCTATCTATCTCTCTATCTCTCTATCTCTCTATCTATTTATATCTCTATCTATCTATCTATCTATCTATCTATCTATCTATCTATCTATCTATCTATCTATATCTCTATCTATCTATATCTCTATCTATATCTATCTATATCTATATCTATCTATATCTCTATCTATCTATCTATCTATCTATCTATCTATACCTATCTATATCTCTATCTATCACATTGGTCAGTTTAGGAACTCATTGGAATAAATTTGTGATGCCGTTGAGATTATACATGCGCACGAACGAGGGATGCTAGAGAGTGCCTTGATCGCAAGGTCATCTACAATAAATTTGCGCATATTGTAAGAACCCTTACAACATTTTACCATTCCTGGCAGAAGAACTTCTATTATCACAGTGTGGGATATCTACTAACAAAAATGGTGGAAGGAAAAAAAAAAGCTCATCTAAATTAAATCGGCTAAAATTTAAATTTTGGACAAACTGGGTTCTTATAAAAATTACAACACATCATTGAGGTCTAAATTTATATACAGACCATTCGCATTTATGCACAGAAGAGAACACGAATAGTTATGTTTTACCACAGTAAATATGGCCTGGTGGATCCGAGCTATAATGGTCTATCCTCTGTGGAATTAAAGGAACGTAAACGATCTAACATCTGCCTTAGTAAGCGATAGAGTGGCACAAGGCTAGCAATATAAAGGTTTCTGGGTGGAGAATATTTTAATGCCCGTAAGACCGTGTACCTGCTTTTGAACTCTGTCGAGGCTGGACAGTGACAGTACCAGTCAGATAGGGCAGATAGTGGGGAGTAAATACAAACTGCTCTCTTGAGTAGGTTGTAACACATTATTTATCATCCCTCAGTTGCGTCTCTGTCTTTGGACAAAGTGCGCTCAGGGCCTCCTCCGTCGAAGGACAGAGTCACAACTAAGGAATATTATCCTGAGATGTGGGAACAGCTGCCTGAGGCCGCGCCCACTCATTGCACTAGAAAGAGGAACCGGTTCTCGTACCGAGGCCAGTGAAACCGACGGGCAATTTTGTTCCTAGCTCGGGCGTACGCAATCGGGCTCCTTACATTAAACCGACCTTGTGTCACTGCCTGAGTCCGTGTTAGGGGTGGGGAGTCATGTAAATACTTACTATAAATTAAAGCTGGTGCTTTTTAATATCAGAATTCGTGGTAGAATTGAGTTCCAGTTTCGCAATAATTCATATAGATTCCATAAAATAGATTTTACTTAATTAGGTATTGTTTCTCTAACTCTTCAAATGTTGAATGTATAACTAATTCTAATTTCTGTTTTTCCATCTTTACACTATATTAATTTTATCTTATAAATTGCCCCCTGTTCTGTCACCCATGAAATAAAAATAATTATTTGTATGGAAAATAAGGATCTGCGTACATTAAATCGTCTTTAAGTTCAGTGGCAGCAGAAGAATTATCGTTGAACTTTTATGAGGTAAACTTAAACATTACTTCAATACTTAAATGCAGCGATCAATTTTGAGTTCTTCTGTAGTTTATTGATGTCTATCGCATCTACTCCTCCCTAGCTATAGTGATGATGGCCAAAATAAGAATCCTCCGCGGGAGCTAGCTTAAATGCCGCCCGATAGGGCAGCTTTTAAGTTAGTTTATAATAAAACGTGAACTTCAATTTTGGATACAAAAGTAAGATAAGAGTTACTTCCCATGAACCATGAAAGCAACGATAATGGCTAGTATAATATATATATATATTTAACCACGCATAATCACGCAACCCCGAATCTGAGTTCAACGAAAATCATTCCCTGCGCCTAACTTTTCTAGGCCTTTTGAATGTGTTATGAATCATTGAAATCGGACGAGTGTGAGTGGAGGAGTTGCTTGGACACACACAGGCACAAACACACACACATACACTGTACATTATATATAAGATATACTGATATAGACAGTGTGGACATAGAAATCACTACCGGGTCGTGACTCAATTTCATACTTCAATGCAATTTTCAAGCCAAGTCCTCTTTATACAGCCTACTAAAGTAGTGTCGCTTGGTCTGAAGGTCACATTGAAGCGTGAAACTGATTGTTACTATGTAGTGTTGATTTATATAAAAAGACGTATATTGAGCACTATTTCCTTATATATATATATATATATATATATATATATATATATATATATATATATACGCGCACACACTTGTACACACACACACACTAATATACACACTTACACACATCATACTCACTCACACCCTAATGAGCCAAATGATAACACACACCCATAGTAATATACAGGCTTACACACTCACTCCCTAAGAACCAAATAACACACACACACTTAATAGAGACACATCCCCTTTCCAGGGACCAATAAAACTGTCAAAATGACCAAGGGAATTCAGAGCAGCATGAATCCATCCAGCTCTTATCTCAAATAACAACTTAAAAGAGACTGTTTGACCAACACAGGGAATGGCCAAAATTCATGTTAAAAAAATAAAAAAAAAAACAAATGAAAACTACAGAGAAAAGTTCATTTTCACCATCAAGACATTCATTTCTGTAGTTCACTGCTACCAGCAAACAGAAAATTATTTTTCTGTTGATGATGGCCATGTTGGCCGAAACTAGTCGAGGAATCTAAATGAAATAATAATAAAAACGAAGGAATATTTATAACCCAGTGTGTCTGAAGATTTTAATTTTTAATATTTTTTATTGTTCAATATATATATATATATATATATATATATATATATATATATATATAAAAATAAAAAGGCTAAACACTAATATTCCATGGTCATAATATTAGTGTTTTAAGCCTTTTTATTATATCCTTACTCTGTTCTGGACATTGAGTTCTACCTGGATTCTATCCTCTTGGAATTTTTATTCCAAAAATATATGTATGGGTATTTATATATTTTGCATATGTATGTATATTTACCACTAATATTATCAATATATATATATATATATATATATATATATATATATATATATATATATATATATATCAATTTTACGATATTAATACCTTATATATAAAATATAAAAACTTACTCTCATCAATCGAAAATACGTAAGAACGTTGGAAAAACTAAATAAAAGATTAATAAAATTTTCTTCGTCTGTCATATTTAACGAAAGATGTTTAAAAGAAACGTTGTTGCCCAAATATACATTTATATGTATATATATATATATATTGCTATCTTTATAGAGATATAAACAATTATCTTCTCATATTTCAAGTTGGTATCGCCAGAATCATCGCCCTAAGCTCGCCCTCCTAGGCGCTTTCTACGAAATGCTAAACTTGACATTGCAAATTAAATGATGGCACTCTTCGTTTAAAGAGCTCGACTTTACCACCACTCCCCTCTCCGCCGCCACGTGTCGGCTTGTGGCCCCTACGTTGTACCGGTTCCGAAAACATGAGTGCGCGAGGGTCACTGTGTCAAGACATTGCTCTTTTCATTGTAGAGGGCTGCAAGTATGAACACTTCAACTAAACCTTTCGTAGACACACCCCAGAGCAGTCACGTGCAACGGTGGTGTTTTCTTTGGCGGTTGAGAGGTTCGGTTGGCGATGTTTTGCAGTCAGTCAGCTTCACAGTTACACGATAGTGAGTCGGATAAAGCCAAAAAATAATAAATAAATAAATAAATGAAAAGTAAATAAAAAATAAAAATGAATTTTTGTCTGATGATAATCTTTTTTATTCATTTATTTTCTCTGTTTTTTTTTCATTTATTTTTTCAATTTACAAAAAAAAAAAAAAATAATAATTTCGATAGAAACTATAACTCAATGGTAAATCCCGAAAACTGAAGTAAAATAGTCAATTATCACTGAGGACTTCGGGTACTTCGACCTGGTAAAAATGGTTAACAAGCTTCTCTTGCTAGATCAGTTACGACTGAATAATGAGTTCGATTCTCACTTGGTGCCTCATACTTTCAGCCTTGTGCCACATCTAAGCTACGCTTAAAAAATCATTTGGACTCTGCGACGTGGTCTAATGCTTAGCAAGCTTGTCTTCTTAGATCCTTTACAATAGAATAGTGAGTTCGATCTTCACACAGTGCCTCATACTATCGGTCCTTTTGCCACATCTAAGCCACGCTTAGTGTTATAGTGGAACACACCTATTCTATAGTTAATAGACTCTCCCACCTATAAAAGTAAGAGTAGTAAGAGTAACGGGGAGTCGGTCGGTCGGTGAAGTCAGTCGGTGAGTCAGCCGATGTCGGACGACAGTTAGTCGGATACTAAAGTATCAGCGACCATAACTAGATTACTCTGCGTTATACCTATTATATCAAGTTCCTAACGTTTTGTAGGTCGAACCTATTTTAAAACCGACTTAGTACAAATACAAGCCTCCACTGTGAAATCACTCCACAAAGAAAATCATTTATGGGCATTTCTACGTAGTGTAATGGTTGTCTCGCTAGATCAATTATGAATGAATAGTGAGTTCGATCCTCACTGGGTGCCCCATAATTTCAGCCTTGTGTCACATCTAAGCTACACTGAAAAAATCACCATACATTTGGTCTTGTGCCACATCTAAGCCTCGCTTAGAATATCAGTTGGCACGTGGTGTCATGCTTAGCAAGCTTGTCTCGCTAGGTCAATTACCACTGAGTTCAATCAACACTGGGTACCCCTACTTTCGGCCTTGTGCCACATCTAAGCGTAGCTTTAAAAATATTATATGTGGACACTTCGATGTGGTGTAATGGTCAGCAAAATTGTTTTCCTTGATCAGTTACGGCTGAATAGTGATTTGATCCTTATTAGGAGCTCCATACTTTCAGCCTTGTACCACATCTAAGCTATGCACTACCACTGAGGTCTTTTTTATGTACGGGCAATATAAAGACGTATAGGAGTAACCTGCACGCTTTTTAAACCATTGACCTCTTTATGGATTACTTGATCACTCATCGACCCCTAGGGATAAATAAAAAAACAAATATCAATAATGTTGTATAGAAACACTGACTAACCTTCCCCACACATATTGAAATAGAGACTCGTCCATCTGCTTTGAGTATAACGTCTGCTTATGGAACAGAAGCAAAAAAGTTTGTCGCACTGAATGATCCATGTTTTTATAGGATTTATTCGACCTTTTCTTTCCAGCGTTTTCCATAGTCTTACTAACCAGCAATTATGAGTGTTATGCGAAATTTATAACAAATAATATTGTCTTTATTTAAAGATAGAAATTCTTTTGTCTTTCATTATTATTTCTCAATAAGATTAATTTTAAATTTACGTTTTTTATTTCTTTTTCAATTTCTCTTATATTACATGTGTTTGATCAGACCTGATAATAATAATAATAATAATAATAACACAACACAACACAGAACAATCAAAAAGCTAATTGTCCAGATATAGTGATCAAAGACAAAAAAAAGCAGATTGTACTTTCTTATGGGCATGTCAGTTCCTGCAGACTCTAATGTATTTCTGAAAATTAAAAAAAAAACTATCAAAATACAAGGAAAATCCAGTGGAAATGTCAAAAATGTGGCACATGAAGACATCAATAATTTCAGTTGTGGTTGGAACCCTCGGTTTAATTAAAATGATTCTAATAGATTCATTAAAGGGATCCCTTGTAGCTTATGTCTTAAAGAAATACAAAAAATTGTTCTCGCAAGTACAGCTCACAAATTACGAAGGGCTTTATCTATGTAAAATGTGTGTGATCATAGGTGGTTTTATTTTTATTACAAAAATGTTCAGTGGAAAATGCCATGATACCATTTCTGACCTTAGGTCTCTTGTTTGAGACCGCGAGGAAATGAGTTAGAACAGAAATCAAAGAAAATAATAATAATAATAATAATAATAATAATAACTACAGATTTAGATCTTGATATTAATAACAAGATTGAGTAACTAGACTAAGATGGTACATACAAATACTTAGGAATTAATGAAGGAGACGGAATACAACTTTCAATTATGAAGAAAATGATCCGAAAAGAATATTATAGAAGATTGTGTTTGATATTAGAAAGCGAACTAAATGGTGCCAATAAAATGAAGGCTATCAACACCTTAGCTATACCCGTAGTAACATACTGCTTCAACATTATTAAATGGCAGTTGAATGACATTAAAAGATTGGATGCCAAGACCAATAAAATGCTTATCCAAATGCGAATGCAAATGAAATAAGATGTTAATAGGCTTTATGTACCAAGAGCTTTAGGAGGACGACGTCTAATCCAATTTGAACTAACTCTAAAAACTACAACAATCGGATTGGAAGCATACTTCACAAAAACCAATGACCCTTTCCTGCAAATAGTAAAACACCAAATCCACTCCATCAACAAAGAAGCTGCACTCTTCAAGAAACATCTTAATATACCTGAAAGCCTACCAACAAAAAACGAAGCGAATGCCATCTACGCCAAACGAGTAAAACAGAAAGTAAAATAACCTGACCAAATTAAATTACAGAAACAATAAGAGGACAAGGCGTGGAAAATACCTAAAAAGAACGAAAGAAGCGGATGTAGACCAGCAGAAAATACATCAATGGCTGAGGAGCACCGGATTGAAAGCTGAGACAGAATGCCTAATTACTGCAGCTCAGGACCAAAGCCAGTTCCTATCACTGTCACGTGATCAAGGATGCAACTAACCCGAAATGCAGGATCTGCGGAAAATATGGTGAAACTGTCGAATAACTTATCTCAGGATGTCCGGAACTAGCAAAAAGTGAATATACCCACAGACATAACAAGGTAGCGACATATGTGCACTGGAAGATATGCAAGAAACACAAAATCGAAACCACTGAGAGATGGCATGAGCATCAAACAGGCACAGTTACCGAAAATAACGATGCAACTATCCTCTGGGACATGCCAATTCAAACAAATAGGGAAATAAAATCCTATAGTCCTGATATTATCATAAAAGAAAAGAAATTCAGGAAGTGTACGCTTTTTGACATAGCAGTACCATATGAGAGGAACACCTCCATGAAAATTGAGAAGTTTTCCAAATATAAAGATCAAGATTATCAGATTGTGGGGAATGAAGACTGAGACTGTACCCATAGTAATCTGTTGTACAGTGGTTTCACAGTGGAGGCTTGTATTTGTACTAAGTCGGTCCTAAAAAAGGTTCGACGTACAAAACGTTAGGAACTTGATATAATAGGTAATGATGCGGTAATCTAGTTGTGGTGACTGATACTTTAATATCCGACTAACTGTCGTCCGACATCGACTGACTGACCCACGATATTTAGTCACCCCCCCCAAAGAGGGTATCATGTGGCACAAGGCCGGTTTAACGTGGGATCTCCGAGCCCGTGTGCTCGGGCAAAAATATGCTCATTGAACCCGTATAAACGGGTTCAGGGTCGGTTTACCTCCCCGCACCCCGAAAGAGAATCTGCCCTTCGGCGTAGCCTCTTTCGGGTTCCTCCCCGCCCGAAGGCAGAGAGTTCAACCGATCAGCCGGTCGACCAACATCGAATGACTGACCCACTCCCTGAACGACTCCTACTTATTATAGGTGGGAGAGTCTATTAACAATAGAATAGGCGTGTTCCACTATAACATAATCGGAGCTCTGGGCCTCGTGAGAAAAGAAAAGGACAACTAAAAGTTTCCCAGGTAACATCAACATACAAGTTGCTCAGAAGATCGCCCTACTAGGAATATCCCATATACTAAGAAAAGTGCTATCAGTTAAATGAAAATTCTCCTATATGGCCTTAGAACCATAGTTTGGGTCCGGCTCTACATGATACAAAGCAGAAAACATAACATACACAAATAATAATAATTAACAAGAGCTTACTATTTGTCTCAAAAAGAAAATAGAGGAGAAAATTTAATGACTTTTTAATTCATTTAAAGATTCTTTATATTTAAATTGAATATAGTTTATGTTAAATGTAATATTTTAATTGGACCGCGTTACCAACCTTGAGGTCCTGGATCGTGCTCACACCTCAAGCATTAAGTCCTTGTTCATTAAGGTCAACTCCGGTGGGTGGGGCATTTCTTCCACATGGAGGAGCCCGGCTTGTCAAGACGTCTGCTGCACGGAGAGCTACTGTACGGCAAGATAAACCAAGGTCGTCCAAAGAAGCGGTACAAAGACACTGTGGAATCAAATCTCCAGGGTTGCAAGCTCAAATCCAAAGAACAAGAAGAGAGCGCCAGTGATCGACCAAGTTGGAAAATCACAATTCATGATGCTGCTGTCACCTTCTTGGATGCTCGACGCCAGAAGCTCATCGTTGCCAGAGATGAACGCCACAGGCCATCGTCAGCAGTGATTACGACAACAGACTTTCAGTGCCCCCACTGTTCCAGACTCTGCGCCTCCAGTCTGGGGGTTGCAGAGCCACCTCCGTGTTCACAGATGAGAGGCTGATACGACGTCATCTTCGGATTCGAAGGACAACCGATATATATATATATATATATATATATATATATATATAT